CTGGAGGAACAAAGCATTTGCTTTGTTAACAGGTGCTCTGGGCTTCCAGGATCCCTCACCACCAGTGTCTTTTCACGAATTCGAACCCCAAAAGACATCCCTAAAACACCTACACCCTAAACCCTAAACCCTAAACCCTAAACCCTAAACCCTAAATGTTCAGAGTTAGCGTTTCGGGTTTCGGTTTAAGATTCAGGGCTTCAGCCCTGAACAGCCCGAGGGCCAATACTGCAGCCCGGGGATCCAGATGGCCACGAGGTAGGGTTTAGGGTTTAGGGTTTGGGGTTTGGCGTTTGGGGTTTAGGGTTTAGGGTTGGGGTTTTGGGGTTTAGGGTTTAGGGTTTGGGGTTTAGGGTTTAGGGTTTTGGGCTAGGGTTAGGGTTTAGGGCTTAGGGTTTTGGGTTGAGGGTTCAGGTTGTAGACTGTTGGCTACCCCAGACCAGGCTTCATGCGTATTCTCCTGCGACTCGTGTGCTTCTTGTGATTTTGTGTTGGGGGGGGGAACTGGCTTAAGGGTTGCAGGCTTTTGGCTTGGGACTAGGGTTTATGGGGCTTACGGCTCTTTGCGCCGCCCTACGGTGGATCGTGAACAGACAAACGCCCCCCAGCCCCAAACGCCAATCCTGCAGGGTTAAGGGCTTAGAGTGTTTAGGGTGTAGGGCCTCATAGGGTTTTAGGGTTGAGGGTTTTAGGGTCTCGGGGTTTGGGGCTTATAGGGTTCTCGGGTTAAGAGCTCAGTGTGGAGGAGGTGCAACACCTAAGCCCTTCGACCCCTTCGCGTCCTCACAGGTCACATGCTTGTGCCATCCGCGCACCTTCGCTGGCTTGCTGCTTTGGGTGGCGGGGGGGAGGGGTAGGGGGAAGGGTCTAGGCTTTCAGGCGGGTACTAGTAGGAGCTTGAGGTTTTGGAACAAATCAGGGTTTGGGGCATTTAGAGTTTATGGGGTTTAGGTGGTTTAGGGTAGGGGTACCCTGAACCCTAAACTCTAAACCCTAATCTCCTCGTGGCAAGAGTGCGTGGAAAACTGAACGCACTCAGCTGCTCTCAGAATTCGCGGGTAAGGGTTTAGGGGTTTAGGGGTTAGGGGTTAGGGGTTAGGGGTTCGGGGTTCGGGGTTCGGGGTTAGGGGTTAGGGGTTCGGGTTTAGGGTTTTGGGTTTAGGGTTTACGGTTTAGGGCTTATGGCTTAGGGTAAGTTTTCCAAGGTACTGTTGTTGTCAAGGTCCCTCCGGTATAGGTGCTAAAAAGGCTTGTCCAAACAAATGGTCTGTGAACTCAACCCCAAACCAACAGGCGCCAATGACCCCTAGATTCGGGACTTACATCCTAAACCTTAAACCCCTAACCCCTAACCCCTAACCCCTAAACCCTAAACCCTAAACCCTAAACCCTAAACCCTAAACCCTAAACCCTAAACCCTAAACCCTAAACCCTAAACCCTAAACCCTAGCGTGTGTCGGAACCCTGCGTCTGCTTGCCAGATCCGGGTCCTCCCGAACATTCGGGATGAACCCTGAAGCCCGAAAACCCTAAGCCCAAGGCCCTAAACCCTAAACCCCAGCCCTAAACCCTAAACCCTAAACCCTAAACCCTAAACCCTAAACCCTAAACCCTAAACCCTAAACCCTAAACCCTAAACCCTAACGTGTGTCGGAACCCTGCGTCTGCTTGCCAGATCCGGGTCCTCCCGAACATTCGGGATGAACCCTGAAGCCCGAAAACCCTAAGCCCAAGGCCCTAAACCCTAAACCCCAGCCCTAAACCCTAAACCCTAAACCCTAAACCCTAAACCCTAAACCCTAAACCCTAAACCCTAAACCCTAAACCCTAAACCCTAAACCCTAAACCCTAAACCCTAAACCCTAAACCCTAAACCCTAAACCCCACCCCCAAAACCAAACCCTAGAACCCTAAACTAACCCGAAACCCTGAATCCTAAATCCTAAATCCCTAACCCCCCCAAAACGCCAAAACCCTAACTACAAAAGATCAAAAACCTAAGACCCCAACAGCCCCAAAACCCCAAAGCCCTCAAAAAACTAGTCGTCCGCTCGAGGATGCTAAGCTCCAGCACGCCCTAAGGGCCGCTAACCAAGGGTTTAGGGTTTAGGGTTTAGGGTCTAGGGTTTAGGGTTTAGGGTTTAGGGTTTAGGGTTTAGGGTTTAGGGTTTCAGGTCGAGGGTTTAGGGTGCTAGTCCCCCCGCCCTACAGACAGGTATGAGAAGAACCTGGCCTTGAAACCTTGGGGACCAAACAAACCCCAAAAGACGGCTGGGGTTCATATACCTTGATGGGAACTATATAGTAGTATAGGGTATATGGCCCACAACCCTGAACCCTGAACCCTGAACCCTAAACCCTAAACCCTAAACCCTAAACCCTAAACCCTAAACCCTAAACCCTAAACCCGGATACCCGGGGCCTTGCACTTGAAGCACACCGCGGCGCCACAGCAAGGGGTTCTCACCTGCCACCACATCTCAAAAAAAAAGAACTAACCCACGAAACCCTAAACCCTAGACCCTATAGACCCTAAACCCTTAACCCTTAACCCTAAACCCTTAACCCTAAACCCTTAACCCTTAACCCTAAACCCTTAACCCTAAACCCTAAACCAGTGTAGGTAACGGGAGTCCAAGGTACCAACAGATCCAAGAATTCTACGGTGAATCGAGTCTAAGGCGGGGTTTTTGGCTATTTAAGGTTTGGGCTGCTGGAGCCACATGGCTTAGGGTTTAGGGTTTAGGGCTAGGGTTTAGGGTTTAGGGTTTAGGGTTTAGGGTTTAGGGTTTAGGGTTTAGGGTTTAGGGTTTAGGGTTTAGGGCTTAGGGCTTAGGGTTTAGGGCTAGGGTTTGGGGCCAGACTTCAGGTGTGGGGGTTTAGGCTTTGCCGTTTAGGCGTTACTTACGGCGGATGGTTTTTGGGGAGTCGCGATGGTACTTGTTCAGCCTCCTGAATAACTTCACCCCTATTACAACTTGAGCTTCGGGACTCCTCCAAAACCCTAAACCCTAAACCCTAAACTCTGAACCCTAAACCCTGAACCCTAAACACTAAACCCTAAACCCTGAACCCTAAACCCTCAACCCGCCTTGGGGTACATCCGGAGCCAGGCAAGCTGGGCGGCCATCCTCCTCTCAGGGTCCTGGCAAGCACGCGAACCTCAAAGCCTTCAACTCCAAACCTTAAACCTTAGGTTAGGGTTTAGGGTTTAGGGTTTAGGGTTTGGGGTTTAGGGTTTAGGGTTTAGGGTTTGGGGTTTAGGGTTTAGGGTTTAGGGTTTAGGCTTTAGGGTTTAGGCTTTAAGGTTTAGGGCTTAGGGCTTAGGGCTTAGGGTTTAGGGTTTGGGGTTTAGGGTTTGGAGTATAGTGCGTAACCCTAACCTTAAGCCCTAAACCCCAAATACCAAGCCCGCGCTAAACTCCGAAGCCATAATTCAGAAGGGCCCTGAACCCAATATTTCGGAAATAGGAACCCCAGGAAGGCATGGCCCGGATTCAAAAAGGGTTTAGGGTTTAGGGTTTAGGGTTTAGGGTTTAGGGTTTAGGGTTTAGGGTTAGCAAGGGATGAAGACTCGTACCCCCAAGCTTGTTCCCCTGAAGGTGTCCCTGAATATGTTCCTCATACGGCCCTAACAAAACCGTAGGGGTCTGAAAAAGGGTCCCCAAACCCAAGGGTACACCGTTTGGGTCCGAGGTAGAGTCCCCTGATGCTAGAGATCCGAGCCTGGTTTAGGGAGTAACCCTTAGAGGGGGATTGGGTTCTCTGGGTGATGGCCGAACATGTTCCGAATCCGAACCCCAAACACCTTAATCCCCGCAAATGCTGGACCCTGTCTGAAACCCTGAACTCCGAAGCCCTGAAGCCCTAAACCCCCGGTTTGTTGTATAAGGTTTCGGGTCGGCTTAGGTTTAGGGTTCGGGTTTAGGGTTTAGGGTTTAGGGTTTAGGGTTTAGGGTTTAGGGTTTAGGGTTAGGGTTCAGGGTTTAGGGTTTAGGGTTTAGGGTTTTGGGCCCCCCCCCCCTCCCAGGGGCCCTAAACCACAGGAGCCCAGGTGGGCCTTTTCGGGGTTTGGGTTTGGGGTTTAGATCCTAACCCCACGAGGGCCGTTGCCCGACTGCTGGTTCTTAGGGAATGAGGGAAGAAGGTACCCTACATCCCCCTGTTATATGCCCCGCCTTTAAGGGATTATAGGGTACCTCATTCCCCCCCTAAACCCTAAACCCAAAACCCTAAACCCTAAACCCTACACCCTAAACCCTAAACCCCAAACCCTATAAGGTCCAAGCGCCTCGATGCACAGCGGAATCCACTTGCGGGCTGCACGCCGCAAGCTCCGCGAAGGCCGCGCGCCACGGCCGGGTGGCCAGGCCTCCGGGTTAGGGTTTAGGGTTTAGGGTTTAGGGTTTAGGGTTTAGGGTTTATAGGGTTTAGGGTTTAGGGTTTAGGGTTTAGGGTTTAGGGTTTAGGGTTTAGGGTTTAGGGTTTAGGGTTTAGGGTTTAGGGTATAGGGTTTAGGGTTTAGGGTTTAGGGTTTAGGGTTTAGGGTTCTGGTTTAGGGTCTGGGGCTTGGGGTCTTGGGTCGTAGGGTGTAGGCCTCCCAGCTTTTGGGGTTTGGGTGTTTGGTAGTTCTATGTGGGATATCAAAGAAGCTATGAGCATCCGAGTTTTGGTACGTATACCCGTACATGCATCTGTCCAGGGACACCGCAGACCCTAAACAGCCCTCTACGCTCCAAAGCCCAACGCTAAAGCGGGGGAGGGGGGGTGCACGCAACCCTGCATTGGAGGGGTACAGAGAAGAAGGCCCCGAACCCTAAACCCCAAACTCTGGGGTTCTTGGGCACTTTGGGTTCGTCGGTCTGTTCATTCTTGGGGCTTTGGGCGGTTCTGAAGTCGTGAGAAGTTTGGGGGCAACCCCTAAACCCTAAAACACTCAACCCTAAACCCTAAACCCTAAACCCTAAATCCTAGACCCCCCTTTTTAAAAGCCTGAACACTCACTCCGAGGTCCGCGCGCAGTGGAGGCGCGACACGAACTCATCTGCCGGAGCCTCCGCAGCACTGGGCCCTTGACCCCAAACCAACAAGCTGAAACATCCCTAAACCCTAAACACTAACCCTAAACCCTAAACCCTAGACCCTAAACCCTAAACCCGAAACCCTAAACCCCAAACCCTAGACCCTAAACCCCCGCTGTACCTGCCTCGGTGCTGGAGAAGCGCTTCCACGCATCGACCAGCGCAGCAGCCTCGGCACAGTGCATGGGCTGAGAGGCTAGGGTTTAGGGTTTAGGGTTTAGGGTTTAGGGTTTAGGGTTTAGGGTTTAGGGTTTAGGGTTTAGGGTTTAGGGTTTAGGGTTTAGGGTTTGGGGTTCAGGGCATGTTGGTCCCTCTACCAACCCTTCGCAAGGGTGCGGCTCTACTGTGGCTCTACTATTCCACATGTTCCACCCTAAACCCTAAACCCTAAACCCTAAACCCTAAACCCTAAACCCTAAACCCTAAACCCTAAACCCTAAACCGCTTGCAGGGTTTGGGGTTGGGATTTTGGGGTTATTGGGTCTGGGGGTGTAGGGCTACTTCCCAGCGCTACGATCCTACTCGATGGGGCTGCGGCAACTGCAGCTGAATGCTCTTCCGCATTGATGGCCGCCTGGAGGTAGGGCTGTAGGATAGTTCATGGTCATACCTTGATGCAGCCCCCATTCTGGGTACCCAGAACCCCTTTTCTAAGTTAGAGTAGTTACCCGAATTCAGTCCTAACCCGCAACCCGAAGCGCTACTGTTGATTACCCATGAACCTCCAAGCAAAATTAGGCATATGCGGAGTTGGCCCGGAGCTCGGGTTCCGGGTTCCCGCTTTGGGGTTTGGGGTTTCGGGCTTATTTACTGTTTAGGGTTTAGGATTTAGGGTTTGGGGTTTAGGGTTTAGGGTTTAGGGTTTAGGCTTTGGGGTTTAGGGTAGATGGAACAATTGGTGAGTCTTTCTATCCCTCTCACACTCACGCCCATACACATCGACGCAGGGCTTACTCATTACTGACCTTTCTTTTCGTAGTTGCCCTTTAGGGTTTAGGTTTAGGGTTTGGGGTTTAGGCTTTCAGGTTTAGGCAGGGTTTAGGGTTGAGAAGCCCTGCTTGGACCTCTTTCGTTCTCACTGTAAGGCTGCCCTGCTCTCGATCATGGTTGATGCAACACCAGGGATACCGCGAGGCTTTGCGGGCTGTTTCTGGCTGGTTTGCACGAGCGAAATATAATAACAGAAGTGAAAAAACAAACGGAGAGAGAGGAGAGAGATAGAGAGCTAGAGAGCGCGTGGCAACATGCTTTTATAGACTAAACCAACCATGATGTTAAAACAAACCCAAATACCTACAAACCCATGGTATAGGTCCTCTGCCCTAAGGCCTAAGCCCTCGAACCTCAACCCACAAAACGGCGGAGGTTTTGTTTTTTCTAAGGTTGGCGCTGGCTTGTTTTCCTTGCTGACGTTGGCTGGGGTTCGCCAACGACAGTATAGAGTTCTTATGGGAGAGGGATTCAAGGGGGGTAGGTACCTAGGGAACCTTAGGGAAGCTTAGGGAGTAGTAGGGAGTATTAGGGAACCTTGGGTTACCTACCCCCTTTGAACCCCCTTCCCTTAAGAACCCTATAAGCCAACCATACCAAAGAAGACAAGCCAGGGCCAAGCTTAGGGAGAAAAAAACAAAACAACCACCGGGCCCCCAAGAAACCTAAACCCATAAAGCCTGAACCCATATACAGTATACATCCCCTAAAACCTAAAGCCCTAAACCCATAAACCCTGAACTCATATACATCCTAAACCCTCTAAACCCTAAACCCTAAACATCCCTAAACCCCAAACCCTAAACCCTAGACCCTGAAAGCAGGTCCCACCGTTTTGCCTGAGCGCCGCCACGCCGGGACTGCCGGCGCTCGTGGCGCTCTCGCGCGGCCAGGAGGTCGCACCAAAGCTCCTTGCTGAAGGATTCATAAGGTTTAGGGTTTATGGGGTTTAAGGCTAGGGTTTAGGTTTATGGGGTTTAAGGCTAGGGTTTAGGGTTTATGGGGTTTAAGGCTAGGGTTTGGGGTTTGGGGTTTGGGGTTTGGGGTCTGGGGTCTGGGGTTTGGGGTTTGGGGTCTGGGGTCTGGGGTTTGGGGTTTGGGGCTTGGGGGTTGGGGTTTGGGGTTTGGGGTTTGGGGTTTGGGGTTTGGGGTTTGGGGTTTGGGGTTTGGGGTTTGGGGGTTGGGGTTTGGGGTTTGGGGTTTGGGGTTTAGGGTTTAGGGTTTAGGGGATAAGGCATTTCAGGGCTTGGGATCGATATAAAGGCACGATTCTAGTTTTCCCCCTTAAACCCTTTGAAGATAATTCCTGAATGTGATCCTCTTAAGCCCTAAAAAGGGGTTTAGGGTTTGGGGTTTAGGGTTTTAAGGGATAAAATGTCCCAAGGGCCTACCCAGGAGACTAGAACAGGAGCCCTCAAATAGGCAGTCCCCAGTTCGGGGAGTCGACCATTGGGCGTAAATTGCCTCTGCTTGCTGAAACGCCGAACCCTGAACCGTGAGCCCTTTGCGCGCACCGCGGCGTTGTCGATTCAAGATTTGGGATTTTAGGGCTGAGCCAAAGACGAACCTGGGGGTTTTTGGGCGTTTTGCCTCTGGAAGGGGTGCCCCCTAAACTCCCTAAACCCTAAACTCCCTAAACCCTAAACTCCCTAAACCCTAAACTCCCTAAACCCTAAACTCCCTAAACCCTAAACTCCCTAAACCCTAAACTCTCTCCCCAGGGGCTACCTAGGGGTCGGTGCAAGGCTTTGGTCCTTCATTCCCATGGGGGCGGGTGGCCCAGGAGCTGCCCTAAGGGGGCTGTGTTCGACCACCCTCCAAGAGCACCACACGTTGTCCATCCAGTTAAAGGTGTGTCTGGCTGCCGGGTATAGTTCTACCCTAGGGAAGGGTACGGCCTAAGCAGACCGGGTGGGAATTTAGGGTTTAAGCCACCTTCAGCAGAAGGCACCTGCAACACCTTGAGAACTGTGACATGCCTGAACTTGTGCCCCTCTCCGATACAGAAAATGCCCTGGGATCTTACAGCGAAGTTACCATGACAATAATACTACGCTAGTTGTCATATTACACATGTCTCCCTCTCTTTCTCTGTATATATATATATATAGAGAGAGAGAGAGAGACAGAGGCAACAATGTATACCCCTACTGCGGAAGCATAACTGCCGTTCCTTATTAACCAGAACCCAGGATATGTAATTTCGCAGACTTTTGGGTGGGGCTGCGGGCCATTGGGCCCTTCTCAACACCTCCCGAAATCCTGAGCCCAAAAAAATGGCGCCTTCTCTCCTATACTCTTGGCAAACAGACTCTTCCAACCTCACATAAATACATGTATGCCATCGTTCCGCAAATTGTCATAACAAAGCAGGTTCGATCATATAGATTACATGGCATTATTGATTATGCCCGGTGATGTGTGTGTGTATATATGTGTATGTACATACAGACACACACACATGTAGCTCACCTTTCAATAGAGAAATTACGACTGAAACATGCACGTGTATATGTATAAATATAATATGTACGATGCTCCCTGACGCTCCTAACTTTCGGCCCGTTGCGAGGCGCTCGGGAGCCCGCAATGGGGTCCGGGTTTAGGGTTCAGGGAGTCGACTTTACAAGCCAGAGCTTTCACTCATCCAAGAGCTCGTCAGCTGAAAGAGTAAAGCTGCGGTCGCCCCAGCACACGATGGAACCATCGTTCCGCAAGGCGGTGAAGCAATAAGTGGTGCCATAAAGCTCGTGTATGTCATGAAGTTGGTCCTGAAGGCTGTCGCTGTCGCCGCTGAAGAACACATCGCCCCAAGTAACCACTGAACCATCTTGCAAAAGCGCAGCAAAGGACCCAGATGTGGCAGCGATGTGTTGCACATTCTTCAGCTGGTGTTGGACTGAGCTGCTGTCACCACCGCACTCTGCGCTGCCCCAGGTGACCACGGACCCATCGCCAAGGATGGCAGCAAAGGCTGCGCTGCTAGGAATCTCACAATGCCTTCCAGAAGACAGGGTGGCTGCAAGAAACTGCACTTTCTGGAGCTGCCCTTGAACAGCTCGGCTGTCACCGCCACAATTTTCATCACCCCAAGCTACAACAGATCCATTTTGCAGAAGTGCCGCAAAGGCTCCCGATGTGGCTGATACGTATCGTACATCTCTCAGCTGGCCTTCGACATGACAGCTGAAGGAACCGTGTTTCTGATGGCCCCAGGTTACCACAGATCCATCATCCTTGACGGCTGCAAAAGCACCATCGGAACCGTAAATCTGCTGCACATGACAGAGCTGCGCCTGCACCTCGAAGCTACGACCACCACGATCGGCATCGCCCCAAGTAACCACTGAACCATCTTGCAAAAGCGCAGCAAAGGACCCAGATGTGGCAGCGAGGTGTTGCACATCCTTCAGCTGGTGTTGGACTGAGCTGCTGTCACCACCGCACTCTGAGCTGCCCCAGGTGACCACGGACCCATCGCCAAGGATGGCAGCAAAGGCACCGTTGTTGGAGAGCACGCCTGGTTCGTAACCCAACATATCGCACCTGGAACCCACGATCTGCTTCACATCTCGCAGTTGTTCTTTGACAGCAGAGCTATCTCCTCCACACCGCTTGTCGCCCCATGTCACCACGGATCCATCCCACAAGAGGGCTGCGAATGCGTCAGTTGTGGCAGCCACCTGGCATACATTCTTCAGTTGTCCTGACTCATACTCTGAACTTCCGAAAGGCATCTCCTCCCCCCAAAGCACTAGAGTGTCGTCATTCAGAACCCCTGCAAATGCCGCAAATGATCCGGCCAGGACGCGCAAAGCAGGACTCGCTTGCAAGGTGAGAGACTCGTCGTCGGACAGCCCAGCTTGAAGAACTGTACACTTCATGGATGCCAGGGTCGTCCCATCACTCTTCACCAACCTGCCCCTGACGCCCAACATCTGCTGCGCCTGCTGTTGCACTTCGTGCACTGAGGAGCCTTCCTCCACCTCGATGTCTACCGCCCTCCCGCTCAAGAGCCGGACACAAACGGACATGGTCATGGCGGCGTCGGGAGGCAGCTCGTGGCTTCCCAGCCGTACGCCTGGCCCCCAAACTGGGCCGACTCTGAAGTGGGCTAACAGGCTCGAGTCGAAGCACACACAGATGGTCATATGGATGCACATGCACAAACAAACATAGATGTACGTACGGGGGTTTATGAGAATAGGGCCCCCCCCATATAGATCCCCAAAGAGGATTCCCCTTTCAGAAGAGCCCCAATTAGGTACCCCTGATTTCGGAAACCCCATATAAGTATCCTTGAACCCTCAACCCTCAACCCTCAACCCTCAACCCTCAACCCTCAACCCCAAACCCTAAACCCTAAACCCGAAACCCTAAACCCCCATACAAGTATTCCTCAACCCTAATCCGGATCATGCCCTCAGTCTCCAGAACGGCCGGTGGAAGGGCTATTCGGGTTCATGGTTTAGTTCCCTACTATCCCCCTCTTTCCATTAGGGTTTAGGGTTTTAGGGTTTAGGGTTTAGGGTTTAGGGTTTTAGGGTGTTAGGGTTTTAGGGTTTTAGGGTTTAGGGTTTGGGGTTTAGGGTTTAGGGTTTACAGCAACAAAAAACACCATCAACGCACCGCTGTAGAAACTTAACGTCAGTAACCCTATCAACCCGAAACCCTAAACCCTCAACCCTAAACCCAAGTCGCACGGGCTGTGCAACCATGCGTTTGTGGAAGACACATAGCCCTAACCGCCCTAACCGAACCCAAACCCCGCAATCCTCAACCCTAAACCCTGAATCCCCAAGTGCATGCTAGGAGGAAGAAGGGTCGAACAGACACCGAGCGCTGCAACCTGAACCGGGAAAACTCTACCCTAACCCCCTATCCCTTATCCTACCCTAAACCCTAAACCCTAAGCCCTAAGCCCTAAACCCTAAACCCTAAACCCTAAACGCTAAGCCATCAAAAGCCCAACTAACCCCAGGCCTCGCGCTGCAGTTCGGAGCGCAGTCGGGACACGCGACTCCTGGGAGGTGAAGGGCGATGGGGCTAGGGTTAGGGCTTTAGGCTTTAGGGTTTAGGGTTTAGGGTTTAGGGTTTAGGGTTTAGGGTTTAGGGTTTAGGGTTTAGGGTTTAGGTTTTAGGGGTGGGATTTGCGGACGCGCACCAGACTGCAGACTTACCCGCCCCGAAAGAGCCCTCTGACGACTCTCGGGGCTATGAGGCTTCTTGGGACGCTCTAAACCCTAAACCCTAAACCCTAAACCCTAAACCCTAAACCCTAAACCCTAAACCCTCTTTCACTTCCACCCGAGGGGACGCCGCCGCCCACGGCGGCACGGACTCTTTGCAAAATTGCCTGATACTGGGAGGTTCATGGGTACAGGGTGGGGCCCCCTAGTTATAAGTAGAGTTATGAGGGCCCTAAATTGGGTTATAAGGACCCTAAGTTAGGTTATAAGTCCCTTAACTACAGTTAGTATAGTAAGGGGGCCCCACCCTGTACTTATAACCCCAATTATCACTACACTTATCAGTCCCCTACGTCCCCTAAGTAGGTTATAAGTAGACTTATAATTGGGGCTTATAAGTACCCATGGACCTCCAAGCACTGCCTCGCAGCCGAGAGGGCCGGATCAGTTTTGTGATGGGGGGTTTAGGGTTTAGGCTTTAGGGTTGAGGGTAGGGTAAGGGTTTAGGGTTTAGGGTTTAGGGTTTAGGGTTTAGGGTTTAGGGTTTAGGGTTTAGGGTTTAGGGTTTAGGGTTTAGGGTTTAGGGTTTAGGGTTTAGGGTTTAGGGTTTAGGGTTTAGGGTTTAGGGTTTAGGGTTTAGGGTTTAGGGTTTAGGGTTTAGGGTTTAGGGTTTAGGGTTTAGGGTTTAGGGTTTAGGGTTTAGGGTTTAGGGTTTAGGGTTTAGGGTTTAGGGTTTAGGGTTTAGGGTTTAGGGTTTAGGGTTTAGGGTTGCGTGGGCGAGGTCAGCCAAGTACGTGCAGGAGTTGCGAAGCCTGCCTGCACCTCCGCGACACGGATGGGCATAGACCCTGTACACCCTATACATGACGCAAAGCCGAAACCCTATACCCTAAACCATTCAACCCTACATCAATCAACCCTAAACCCTAAACCCTAAACCCTAAACCCTATAACCCTATAACCCTATAACCCTGAAACCCTAAACCCTAAACCCTAAACCCTATAACCCTATAACCCTATAACCCTAAACCCTAAACCCTAAACCCTAAACCCTGAACCCTGAACCCTGAACCCTGAACCCTAAACCCCCCTAAACCCTAAACCCTAAACCCTAAACCCGGAACCCTGAACCCTAAACCCAGCCAAAGTCACCCGCCTCGCTCGCGCCAGGGCAGTAGAGTCACCGGCAAGTGCCGGGGTCTCCGCTGCGCACCTGCGAAGGGGATGGGTTTAGGGTTTAGGGTCTAGGGTTTAGGGTTTAGGGTCTAGGGTTTAGGGTTTAGGGTTTCGGGCTTGGGGTTTGGGGTTTGGGGTTTGGAGTTTGGGGATTGGAGTACCCCAAACCCAAAACCCTAAACCCTGCCCTAAGCCCTGAAAGAAGCCCTCAAAGCTGTGGGAAAGCGTTTGCATTTAAGGGGTTTAAGGCCTTTAAGGGTTTAGGGGTCTGGGTTTAGGGTTTAGGGTTTAGGGTTTAGGGTTTAGGGTTTAGGGTTTAGGGTTTAGGGTTTAGGGTTTAGGGTTTAGGGTTTAGGTGTTTAGGGGTTTAGGGGTTTAGGGTTTAGGGTTTAGGGTTTAGGGTTTAGGGTTTAGGGTTTAGGGTTTAGGGTTTAGGGTTTAGGGTTTAGGGTTTAGGGTTTCGGGTCCCTTATACCAACAGGGGTTTTTTGGGGTTTAGGGGCTCAGGGTTTCAGGGTTTCCGCCTTGCACCCGGCGAGCCCCCCACCCCTGAGCACCCACATCTCAAACCCCTAAACCCTAAACCCTAAACCCTAAACCCTAAACCCTAGGCGGCCCAACCAGGCTGTAAAGCAAAAGGCAGTCACCATCCCATGTTCGCGTTGCTGTGGCATGTTGGACTTCATATGAGGGGTGGGAGTAATTGCGAATCATGTTCCCTGATGGCCCCTGTATGATTATGCTATAACAACCTCCCAAAAGCCTGTTGTCATTCTTAAGGCTCCTACAGTGCCTACAGTATGCAAGTACGCCTTATGAAGTTTTGCAAGGTAGAGCACTTGCCTATTTTGACCAGGCGGGCCCTGTTCAGGGTTTAGGGTTTAGGGTTAAAGGCGAGCCTGATGCACTGGTACTGGATGCGGGAAAACCCTGAGCACATACAAGGAGCAACGGATTTTTCCGCCCGCTCTGCAGACCCACGTTGTGCTTCGGTCGCGCGGGGGATGTAGCAAAAAATCTGTCCCGGCGTGCGAAGCCCCTAAACCCAAAACCCTAAGCCCTAAACCCCTAAACCCTAAACCCTAAACCCTAAACCCTAAACAGCCCCTAGGGCTCAGGAGTCCCCGTGACCTTAACACGGTTTTGGGGTATAAGGTTCCAGGATTTAGGGTGCCTCAACCTCTTTACGTGGGATAGCACAACTTGGTAGGATTTAGGGTTTAGGGTTTAGGGTTTAGGGTTAGGGTTTGGGGTTTAGGGTTTAGGGTTTAGGGCAATCTGATAGTAAGGGCACGCCTTCTTTTGGTTGGCTACTTTCATAAGGGAACCTTGAACCACAAAAGAGAGAAAAGAGTACCACGGGGCGACCAAGTCAAACATACCCGCGCCCGTTGTAGATAGGTTTTTAAGAAGAGGGCCCTGACAAATGGATCCCGGAGCAGAAACAGGATCCTAATTTGCAACCCCCTCTTCGCTCTACTGACCCCCAAACCCTACAACCGAACACAGCCCTAAACCCTAAACCCTAAACCCTAATCCCTAGACCCTAAGCCCTAAACCCTAAACCCTAAACCCTAAACCCTGCATGAGCACAGCGGCGAGCTGGACGGCAAGGCTTCGGCCGGGACGCGCTTCGCAGCAGTCAGCCGAAGCTGAGCTGCTGGAGCTCGCCAAAACCCTGCTTGAAGGTTCATGCGTAGACACGTCTATAGGGCCTTTAGGGTTTAGAAAATCTGGGTTTAGGGTCGGGTTTAGAGTTTAGAGTTTAGAGTTTACAGTTTAGAGTTTAGGGTTTAGGGTTTACGGTTTAGGGTTGCTAGGGCCAGATGTACCTCAATTAGGGCTACGGCAGTTGCCCTACTTATGACTTACTGCACTTATAGCTGCCCATGGAACTCCAAGTACGAAGCTTCACGGTCTCTACAAACCCCGAAATGCCCTAAACCCCAAAACCGACACCCTATATCCTAAACCCGTCACCGAAACTTCGCAGTCGCCACCCAAGACATCGAACAACCCTGGACCATGACTTGCTGAAGAGCCCGTGCCTGAAATAAGGTTTAGGGTTTAGGGTTTAGGGTTTCGGGTTTAGGGTTTAGGGCTTAGGGTTAGGGTTTAGGGTTTAGGGTTTAGGGTTTAGGGTTTAGGGTGCCCTGAACCCCGAGACACATTTGGACCTTGTAGGGGTCGTTGAGGGTGGCCGTCGAATAGGATCTCATGGGCAACTTTAACCCACCTTAAGCCCTGAAACCCAAACCATTGACCTCCGAGACGATCATCAAGGTGACAAGTAGCGGACCACTCAGTCCGTCACGCCAATGCGCTCACCCAAGCCTCGCGCAAACCCTAAGCCCTAAAAACCCGTTGAGGGTTCAGGATTCTTGGCTGCACTTAGGAGGGTAGCTAATAATTTAAATTTTAGCTGCCTTATTAAGAAACCCAATAAACCCAAAAAGGCTAAGGATCTAAAGTTACAGTAAAGCACCACAAAGGATTTCTTCAATCCCTAGTTTTGGACTCGTTGAGAAGAAATACCACTCATGAACCCTACAACAGTTCCTTGTGTGCTGGCTCCATGTTTTTTGTCATAACAACCCTGGCAGCCACAAACGCTGACACTCGAAGGGTTTAGGGTTTAGGGTTTAGGGTTTAGGGTTTAGGGTTTAGGGTTTAGG